TCAGTGAGAAACACAAGCCGTCAGAGGAAATGGGATGGAGAGGGGGAAACAACTTGTACAGCTCATTGAATCAGCTTATTAGCCAGCTCAGTGCAGAAGATGATTGCTAATAAAGCAAAGCAATGTTTATCTATCAATGGAAAGGAACACTTAGATATTAAGGTGATCGAACTGTCTCTGCTTGTGAGAGGAACAGGAGATTCAGAGTGAATAAATGGATGTAGACCCTGGAGAACACCTTAAAAAAACCAAGCAAAAGAACAATTTCTTTTCATCAAGCAAGCAAGCTTTCAGAAAACCTGAAATTATGATCACTGTCAAGAGGGGACACAGTAATTGACTTGAGACCCATAAGATACAGTCTTGGGATAAACAGATCAAGTCCGTTTACTCCCTCATTCACTCACAATTCATAAAGCAATTGTTGCTCTTTTGCCTGCAAATAACTTATAACTTCCAGAACATTTGGTCTGGGGCTGGTGTTAGGAATGACTGCGCATAACTGGGTAAGGAAGAGGCATTCCTCACCCAGTGGTGCACCGGATCTCTTTATCCAGGCTTCTGGGAGGTCTTAACAAACCCCACAATGGTTTTGAGTGGTACAACTGGGAGGGGAGCACAGGGAAGGCTGCAGTTTAAACCATGTGGGCCAGAGGGAGAGCCAGCACTGGAGGCCAGGGGCAGCAGAAATCTATTTCAGCTACTACTGGTGAGACTCAAGGCTCTCCAGCATGCAGCACCACAGTGATGTACAGATCTGTACTTTGGGTCACAGAGCGCGTCACATTTACCTCTTCCTTTTTTAATCAACTGGCAAAGAGTGAGATTCTGCAGTTGGTTCACAGATGTACGTTAAACAACAGGCAATCACTTCACTCACACATCAACACTTTCCATGTTTGGTGGAGAACCACAAATTTGAAAGCTGTTTCCTGTCCCACCCCAGTCTATTAGTAACGAGGATATTCATTACAGCAGCTTAAATAGAGGGCAAATACGTTGCTTAGCTTGGAGAAAAATGTGTAGGAGAATAATCAGTGTAACACAATGCTGTCTGAAACTTGATTTCACAACGGTCATTGCAGCAAAAGGTTTAAGAAAGTGGCCTTAAGAAACATACTTGTGAAAAGTAACTGAGAAGAAACTTGTATCATGTAATCTCAGAGTCACATGGATGTAAAATTTATAAGGAAAGCACTTTGGTTTGGTTTGTCTGTAAAGCTAGTGAACAGAATATATGCAAGTGATACACACTCTTTAAGGTTTCCTAGCATTATTGCTCAGACGATTCTGTTTATTACAACCATACCAAGCTCCAACCTTCCTTAACATGTTAGAAGCTACTTCATAGTGAACTATTTGTCAGAAAATAGAATGCCTTCATTGACAAGAATAAAATCTAGGGAGTCTGTTTTGCTAACTTTTAAGGACTCTTACATGCAATTTTACTTAAAAATCATCACATCCATACTTTGCTGCATAATTCTTTGAAATTCTGTCAAAAAACTCAACACCTTATGGTGGGCATCAAACTTTTGTTCTTGTGAAAAAACTGCTACTCCTGAAGCAATCTCAGGGTTTCTGACAACAGGTAAATTAAAATTTACCTTATGTCTGTAATGACAATTCCCAATGCATTTCAGGGTTATTTGCAAAACTTTATTTACTAACTTAAACTCCTCAACTCTGCCTTGAGCTGGAATTCGGGCTCAAAGTTCTGCTGTGCTTTGGAATAAGCTTTCCAGTGTTCCCTCTGGAGGTACACACAAAACAGCATCACAGAAAATCTAGCACTTCAGTAACCTTCTGGCATCCTGTTTCCTTGACAGGAACACCTTGACAAACTCCATCTCCTACAATGACTCTCCCACAGGATCAAGAAATTGAATGTAAAAAGCCACTGAACAGGCTCCATCTCCACTTTACTTTGCAGAGGAGCAGCCCACGTAGCTCAGGCTGGACAAGGAAGACTGGTATCAACCTGGCCAACATAGATACACATGTACACTGTACTCCCTAGTATTCTCCAAAACAATGTAGCGTTTGGCAGCCGTATGCTTCAAAACCCCCCTCTACCTGGCATGCTCCAGTCTGAGCAACAGAGTGAGGATTTTCCAGCAGTGACTGATTATTCACACATCCAGGAACTGCTGCGGTGGGAACTGCAACAAAGGCAGGGAGAATCTCTCTTCAGTGCTCCCATTGCCACCACAGCTACCGTGCCAAGACATGCAGGAGTAAAAAGAAGTCTGATACAGACACATGAGGAAGTGTGCAGGTTTCAGTGAACATAAAATCGAGGCAACATTAGATCATTATCTTTTGCTGCTCTCAGAAAGTAGCTCAGATAAAACACACAAAAAAATTTCTCCCAATCATGTAAGATTAGCATACCTTAAGGATAACTGCTAGCTTTGGCTAATTTTAGCCCCATCAGCTCAGGCTGTAAAGGGGCATGCTCTGATGGAGAAGTTTAGACTGTAAGGAAATGTTGGTATATACAACTGCTGCATCCTTTTTTGCCATTAGACAAACAAACAAACAAAAAAATCAGTTACAATCAAGAACAATATTAAGTTGTAAAATCAAATATTCTAAGCTAGGAAAAGCCCAAGGCAGTATTGCTTATTGCAGTATAGCTTATGCTCTCTTAATTCACCGCCCCTTTCCAAATGCATCATCGTAATTGAAATAAATATGAAAATCACATACCTTTTTTTCCCCCCCGATAGGTCCCTCCATCTCATTCCGCATACTGGATGAGCCTGTTCAGAAGAATCAGGGCTGTCGGTGAGGCTTTAGCCTATAGAGGGTTTTTTTGCAATTCACTGATTAGTTAGGAGCTATATGTAAATCCAGAAGGGTGCAGGGTTGGGGGGCAGAGGTGGAGCTGGGAAGGAGCACTTGGTTCCCTTTACAAAGAAACCTAGTAAGGAAAATAAGAGACTCTCTGGACATTCAGATTTTGTGCTTGCACCTGTATTTACCCAACACCACACAGTAATTCCGTAGCAAGGCAAACATCTCAGTGGCCAAGCTGAATGCATGTGTCATTTTATAAAAAGCAGCAAAACAGCAGTAGATCTTTTGTTCTAGTCTAGTCTATTTTTCTATATTAATGACAATTAATTATTCATTAATGGAATTTAAACAAATTGGGCAGTGACCCAATCTTTCCATTCATTTTAACACTTTTCCCTTTGTTGTCCTCAATCAGAAATCTGCAAGCTAGCACCAGCCACAGCCTCAAGAGTATCATTTTCCCATTTATTATTAATTTGTACTGGAAAAGAAATGTCTATCTACAGATGGCCAGGTGTCATACTAGTGTATCTAGATAGTAACTTTATTTCCTTCCCCAAAACTTTTTGCCCTTGGGCAGAAGAAAAATGGAAGTCAGTATTCTTGGATACTGTCCCCTTCATCTGCCTGTGCTAAATATAACTTGGTATGGTTGCTAATTCTTTAAGAGCTGGTGTAGGCTCCTAGAAAGTCCCATCATACAATATATGACCCAGAGATGGCCTTTTTACACAAGAGTTCCAGAGATGCACAAAGGTCCCAGGAAGGAAAAAAAAAAGCCTACTGATGACACCACACAAAGAATTGCGCTTCAATACTGCTGTTTCAAACCAGATCTCATATCAGACACTTGGGACAGCAAAAAACCCAAACACTGCAATTTTACGTACAATTCTGTTTCATCAAACAGATCTCCTTCCACTTTCCCTCTTTTCTCAGAAAAGTTTGTATCTTCCTTGAAAAGATTTAGGAAAAGACGTTTGAGAATTAAAGGGATGAGCTTGAAAGATAAAAAAAAAAAGAGAACAAGCTGAAGTTGCTCTCCCCCTCCATCTTACTAGAAAATTTTTACAATTTGACTTGTTTATAGAGTACCTGTTTTGCTAAGACACATCTAGAAGTCAGGAGCCATCATCCATTCCTACCTGTTTCAGAGCTCTCTTTTGGCTAGTTTCTCAACTCTCAGAGGATTTTTTCAGCCCTCCACCCTAAGGCCATCTGTAATACAAACAATATTATTACATCAGAAAGCACTACAAATAGACTAGAATGCACATTACCCTCCAAGGGAACAGTTCAGTAATAAAGACCTCAAGAAGTTCCTGCTGTTTTCACCTAAAGAATTTTAGAATAAAGCACACTGCTGAAAAAGGTCACTTCTTTCAGTTCCTAACAAACCAGTACGTTCATAAACAAAAGGGTCCCAAGTTGTCCTTACGTACGCCAAGTCCCTAACAAAAACTTAGGCCTTGAAAGGTAGGGTGGAATTTTCTTATATGCTGAACAGCTTAAAACAAAAAAAAAGCACGTTTATGTGAAACAGCAGAGAGCAGTCAGCTAACAACACTGCATTGAACTTGGCAAGATGGAAATTAATCACTCAATTTGAATCAAGGACTCTAAGAACAACATGCCTGACAGCCACCTACTACCTTTTATCTTACAAATGTAAGATAATGTACAATGCTACCAGAATGATTTAGCCTTGTGTTTTATGTGGTTGACTGTCAGATAAAGACCTTTTTTCTTTTAGTACACACACAGATGGACAAAAGCGACTGAGGAAATAAAATGCTTTTCTTATCTCAAGCTGAAGCATTTCCTATGTCACACACACACTTAGAAATTGCTTCATCTCAGGTGTTGGGGACATTACTTTCCTAGCTCTTTATATGACTTATAGCACAGCCTATAAATATTACTTATCTTTATACAACCATACATGCTAAAAGACATGCCAAATGTGATCAATATGCATAATTTGCCAACTGATTTTACACACACTATTGATAATGAACTGCTTAACTTCCGAAAATTTAACAAGCTAATCCGTCCCCACAAGCAGGATACTGCAGATGAAGCAATAACTACAACAAGCAATTAAACACTACTTTTTTCCATGAAAATAAACTGCCACTACTACAACCATCAGCCAGGCTACAGCTACATTATTGCATGACAAAGATACACACATTAACTACAGTTTGTATGTTTTTCTTATTTATTCAAAAGCTAGGGGATGACAAAAAGGGTTAAAATGTTTTATGCCACCTATTTATTACATGAACAAATACTTAATCCAAAGGGACTCGTTTTACAAGCCCCTCTGTCCAAAAACCACGCACAAATTAGTTTTTATACACAAATGTTTATTTCTCAAATAAACTTCCCCTTTAAACACAAGGAATGAAATCTAAATCTTCATAAAGATGAATCCAAAATGAAATCCCTCCAGTACATAGTAATCACTGTTTTCTTGGTCACTACTGGCTTTAACTGTTTAACATCAAAAAACAAGGACATATTTAAAAAATCATGCTACTGGATTCCTAGGTCTGCCTCTGACCAGCTCTATACTGATCTCCAATATTTTAAAATTTTACATCATCAAATCTGAAGCATTTAATTGAAGAACAGCTGTGCATTAAACACAAACAACTGAACAAGAAGATTATAAGATGTAATCAAGTTCATAACGAATATAGGTGTTCTTTTCATCATTATAGATTCTTGGATAATGTGCTATCAGAGCATCCTGTGATCCGATGTAGATCGAATTATAAATCTTCCAATAAACATCTCTGACTTTCCTGGCAGGGTGAAACAAACCCTAGAAAACAGAACAGAACAAAACATATTAAAGGCTTAAGGTCTAAATGTCTGTTACTGAATTTAATCAAGTTTTGCACAATAAGCATTTCAAAAAGCAATTACAGTAACTAACACCACTTAGAACAAAGAAGGTACACTGAATGTGTCAGTCCCAATTTTTGCAACTATCTAATCTAGCAAGTAGTAACAAAGTATTATTTAGAGGCAGATTTTCTTATCTTTTTTGCTGCAGGGAGAAATTCCACTGAATGTATTTCTAGTTTTTTATTCTTCTTTTAAAATAAAAATTAAAACCTGATGCAGTATATTTAGTTGGAACTGAGTCTTATCTTCAGCTCTGCTAATTGTGATTTGTGCAGAGAAAGCTAGATAGGAATATATGAGATAAACTATTATTAAACCTAAAAAAATGAGCAGAATGTGAAAGCTCTAGAAAAAACAGTTCTATATACTAAGAATACACAAGTAGTATTTGGAAAAAAAAAAAATACACTGTGCAATAGGCTTCTTCCACCTTCCCACTGATGTCAGTATCTTTGTGCTGAGGCCTCACACACACAAAAAAACCCCACACAGTGAAATTCCTTATCTGCAAATAATTAATAAAACGCTGTCACATCTCCTCTACATTGATCTGCATTACATTCATCCTTGCTTTCCACCCGTTATGTGAGTTTAGATTCTACAGCCAATGCAGCAACGAGTGTTCTGTGCAATTACACAAAAAAGGTGCCTTCAGATTTTACTGCCACGTACACAGTTATAGAAGCTTAACTGACTAGTGTTGATGTAAAGGTATAAATTCTGATCAAGGCGCTGTTTTCTAGTGCTTCACTCTTTCACAGTTTTAAATGTCTTACTGTTTTTCTTGGCTAACAAATAATATTGATTTAATACAAAGCCTATCCTCTCATTTACTTATCTCGCTTATTACTTGTTCTCATAACCCCTCGCACTATTAATTTATTCTCTAGTCATTATTTAGTGTCATCAAGTTTGTGAGATGCTTCCATTTTACAAGTTAGAGTGCCAGGCTATCTCAGCCAATTTATATTCTAAGTTATTTGCTACCTCTACACAAGTTCCTCAATGTATTCAGCTATCTCACAATACCAAAACATCTGTTTGTTGCATATTTCAATTACTGAAGTCCTTGGTACAGAATGCCATGTTTAAAGAATACTTTAGAGAGGTAACAAGCCACACTCTTTTCCTTTGCTGGAAACCATCTTCAGTTGACTTTTTTTGTCTCCTAGAAAGAAGTCCTGCCTGATAATTGCTGTCTCTGCTATCCCGGCATACACGAGGACATACCTGTAAACAATACTGCAACATTCTGCAGGGACCAATAGCAACTCTAAGGCCCTCCAGAGCCCCCATAACTGCCTGAATGACGTGAGGAGAGGTTTCAAACACGTTAGGCCACACATAATTTAACAAATGATTAAGAGAATCTTCACAGCCAAACCCATAAACACCAAGAGACATGTGTTGCACCACGGCACTGGCTGTTTGTCTGTGTACAAGATCCCTGCAAAGAGAACAATGGTCTGTTAATAAATTATACTTAGAAGCAACATGACTGGACAAGCATAATATTTCTTCTCAGTAACACTTTTTTTGAAAGCCCTAATATACACTTTTAACCTATATTTACTGACAACAAGAGGCAGAGTAACAGAAATCAGTAAATTAAAAAAAGACGGAATTTTGGGACAAATTACCACACACTAATTCCGCAGCAAAAGTACTAACAATAGAAATTATCAAAAGCAGTTTGAATGTCAGAAGTCTTAACTCAAGATGCTTGTATCATTTCGATCTTCAAAAGTATTAGTAAAATAGGAGTATATAATCTGAATTATTTGCAAACAACAGCTTCCACATTATGCTGGTCACTTAAAATTTTTAGCAAACAAGGACAATATGCATAGTTGCTATCATTGAGACTCAGCTATATACTTAAAATATATGACTTACGGCTAACTCTACCACAGATAGAAAGAAGTCCACTCACCTGTCCATTAAAGCATCTTCAAGCAATGGTGTAACAGCATAAATGTAATCTTTTCCCATCTCTCCAATGTATTCAAACAGGAAAGAAAGAGATTTTAACACACCATTCTGGACATTCAGTTCCGGAACTCTGTATTCATTCATGAGTGCAGGCAGCACTGTGAAAGGTGAGCATGTTTCAGCTACAATAGCAATTGCTACTGTAGTGCATACTCTGTTCTGCCTTTCCTGTACTTTCAAGTTATTTAGCAGTGTAGCCAATACATCGTGAGGTCTGGAAGAGATAACGTGCGTGTCCATGTCAATAGATTAGTGAGGATTTGGATAAAGTTAGTTGAGTTTCAAATAGCAAGTGGCAAAAAGCATGGTTTAGCCCTTAAAAAAAAGTTTAGATAACTGGGAAACAACATAAACCACAAAACAGCTTAAGCAACTGCATGATCTTATTTTCGTAACCATTTTTTACTTTCTCTAGACTCTTTTTTCCTGCCTTCTGTTTTGCCTCTTGTAACCTCTGGAAGAGCAGCCTCTGCACTATTATTCTGACCCCACAGGTAATTACAAACTTGTATAAAACCATATACACGCTGACAGAGATAGGCGACGGCCTGTATAGATCAGCGCAGTTATGGTATTCCTTGGTTTTCTGCTCTATCTGCATTAAGTCAGTAATCGGTCACTTATTTAAGAATATGCATAAAGGTGGGAATTGTGCTTCATTCTACAATTTGCTGACTAGCAGTATCACCTTAGTGGCAAAAAATCCTTTAGAAATCAATAAAAGTATTGATTTGGGGAAAAATAAGAGAAGAGGGATTGGGTATTTAAAGGAGAGTTTATAAAAGAATACAGAGAGGGTCTGAATGTGTATCACAGTATCAAAAATTCATGAGACAAACAGCTCGTACTACCAAATTATACTCTAACCTTGTTCATCTACAAATTTAGTTCAAAAGTGCAGCACCCTATATTAATGAAGAATAGGTGACTCTATTCTCCTTCTATAAAATGAGTAGAATCAAGTCTACATATTTAACATGTTAAACATAGAGAAGTTTGAATATTTCTCACCAGAAAACTCAGAATCATCACTATGTTAGGTAACTGTGTAGAAGTGGATAAGCATTAGACCAACTTACCCAATTGCTTTCGCAATATAACCAAAAGTGTTCACTGTGGCTCTTCGGATAGCTTTCTTGTGAGCTTTTAATAATTCAAGCAGTTCAAAGCAGATCCTCATCCATTCTCTTGCAGAAACATACTCTGCACCTCTGAAAGAATAAACTCAGTTACCTCTTCAGTGACATTAAAAGTTTTTAAATAAAACCACATAAATTGCAGGACCTATTGATTTGCTATCAACAGAGGGATACTGCTCAAGCAATTTCCTTAATTAGGTATCTGTTAACATCAGACCTTCACTGGTTAATAGTTTACTCAAAATTTATTATATTCTGTGCATTCAAAGTTTGCATAAATGGACAACGTACTTCTTACAAACTGTCTGCAAAATAACATAATTACAATACGTTCAAAAGACTGTCTGCTAAATATCTCATTTTAAGCTTTATGCACGACTTAAGAAATGCCAAGAGATATGACAATAAATAACCAGATGCCAAAACTGATACTCAGCTTTCACTTTTGCTACAATAATTGCCCACACAGAGGGTCAAATATTTTACCATTAGCCAGCTTACCGGTCTGCAATGCGCCCAACAAGATCAATACAATTTTCCTGTACTTTCTCATGTCTGTTCTTCAAAATAGGTGTAAGCCGTGGCAGCAGATCTTTGATTGGTGGTGTCATCTTGTGCATACCTATTGAATTCAGAGAGACATACTTAGTTATACAATGCCTTTTAGTTTTGCCCTGGAACAGGCATGTAATCAATACACAAACATACCTATAACATTCACAATAGCCTTAAGTGCTCCGAGTATGCTGCCCAGTACTTCAGGATATTCTTCACCCAGGTACTCATACAACACAACACCCAAGTGTCCCATCAGTTTTTCCTACAACCAAGTAAAAAGATTTAGAAGTTATTTTTTTCTTCCCTCACTATTATGACATGCTACAGGAACTTTGGTAGGAGAAGTCAATACAATACCTCTTGACAAGTCTTCATGACAACTGCAGTACGAGAGATCAGGTCAGCAGCCTGCTGCCTAACTTTAGCCGATTTGTTGTTCAAACGCCACAAAACTGTACCACAGATTTGTGGCAAGTAGGGTTTAACTCTTTTGCCTAGAGCATTAACCACTGTGCCAAAACCATTCAGCATCACAGAATCCTGAGTGTAAAAACAAAGGAAAAAAAAATCAAACCAAAAGCAACACTACATTTTAATACTTAACATAATCTAAAATTGCTATTAAAATGCTAACATTCCAGAGCTAGTTTCTGGATTTCATTGATTAGAGCACTGTCATCTAAAAAAGGATTCTAAAAATCTAACTTAGAAGCATACATTTCTGTGTAACTAACAGTGAGCTAGCTCACTGTTAAAGTGAACCAAATACTAAACACCCTTGGCCATACCTCTGTGGTCTGTTCCTGAAAGGCATACAAGATACCATCAATAAGTTGTTCTTCCAGTTTATGATCAATGTCTGCTGCTCCCAGATTTCCCATTATTTTCTCAATTGTTTCCATGACCATTTTTCTGTACTGCTCAGCCTCATCTTTCAGATCATCCACAATTCTAGAAATAATTTCCGCTGCTCCAACTTTATTTGCCAGCTCCACAGTTGTATCAACCAACTGAAACATACAAATGTCAAGTGAGCAAACATTGTCAAAATCTACTGTCTACATCTTAAAAATAAATTTTCCTGGTCTGAAGAGGAGAAACAGCATCATGCATCTTAAGTGCACTACGAACAACTGTTTTTACCTTTAGAAACCATCCAATGTTTTAAACAACACAAATGGGGTGAACTCCACCTTACAAGTGACGTAGACTCATATTCACAAACGTAAAACGTGCCTCCTAAAAGCCTGTGAATCTTCTAGCTATGCAATTTCTAAATCACCAGTCCAAACAAAAATCAGTTTCAGGACATACAAGACACAATTAAGTGTCTAGGCTGAATGACCATTCTAACGTGAATTTTGTTCTACTGTAAATAATTTCCCAACTAAAAAAGTGCCAAATACCTGTCTGTAATTTCTTCTGTCCAATGCCATTCTGTGCTGCCAGAAGTGTTTGAAAAAAGGTGGCAAGATTTCTGTTTTAATGTAGTTTGCTTCAACACCATCCGTACCACAACACTGCTTTACCACCTAACAGGAAACAAAAATCCAACAATTTTAATTCTGTGTAGGGTTTGGAGTTTTGGGGTGGGTGATTTTTTGGGGGCTGGGGTGGGTTTTGGTTTTAAGAAAAGGAAAACCCGACATATTCAATATTAATGATAAACAAGCATTCTGACATACCTTCAACACAATTTTTTTCATCTCTTCATCAGGAGACTGGAACTCTCTGATAAGGATTAGCATGACTTCTCTAGTATAATAGTTTGCATACTCAGCATCCATGAGTGGAATCAGGTAACCAATAGCCTTCAAAAAGGCAGCCAAACCCTATTTAAATGTAGAAATATGTCTCTAATGAGTTACAGAAAGTATACATTCATTTCAGTTCAAACTAAAGAAAGTATTTTAGATATACCTTTCCTCTGTGCTGACGTATACCCTTCCATAAAGGCTTCAGAACAGAATCAAATGACTCGATACCATAGGGAGTAGCCGCCTCAGCCAAAGCAGCAATAGCCAAAGCACTGATGGTGCGAACTTTCTGCTGCTCATCCACCAGACCTGCAAGAGAACAGTGTTTGGTACCACTTCCTGTACTTCTTGTGACTTAAGTTCAAAACAGCAAAAATAGAGGGGCAGTATAAATGGGATTAAATTATTTTCAGGAAAACTGAACCACTATTCCTCTTTCAGAGTCAGCTGAACTGTTTCTCAGTGTCAAAAACACACAAAACAAGGACCATACTATTACTGTGCCTCACTGGGGTATGAAAATTTTTCCAAATATAAAGTGAATTAAAAAATCTTTGCCTGGGAAAGCAGAACTTACCATGTTCAATAATTTCAACCAAGCTCCTGAGATGAGGCAGGATAGCACAACCCATAAGAATAGCAATCTGCTGAACAATCTTGATGCCAGTATGCCTAGCCTGCCAGGATTTTTTGCTTTTACAGACAGCTTTCAAGAAGGGTAGCAGAGAAGGAATGCCCAAAGCAGAGGCAACGACAGCAAAGGCTCGAGCTGTTGTATTTCGGACATATTCATCCATGTTATCAATGTCAGGTCGCATTGTGGAGATCATTGTTGCCAAACCAGCAGCCTGAAGGAAAAACATACAAAACATACTAATTGGATTTATGATCAGCACAGTTAATTCTTCTGCCATGCCTATAAACATACAAGTACATGTGAGCTAACTCAATGCCTTAATGAAGAATGGAACTTTACCTTAGCCAAGTTTGAAATAATTTCCCTGCCTTCCACTCTAGCATAGTAGTCTTCATCAATCAGCAGGGGTTCAATGACGACAAGGATCTGAAAAAGATGAACAAATTAACATTTCCTTTCATTAATACTTTTAGTAGTATTTCTGGCCCTAATAGATTCCATGAAAGAGAGATCACTCCATGGATCCAACCTTAAAGCTTTACGATGACTGGATAAAAATTAAATCTATTATCCTCTTTTCACAACTCTGTCTCTAAAACACCTGGCCTAAAGATACTACCTAGATAAGATGCCCTTCCCACCTCTAAGGGTGTATATATCATTTTCACATCATGTCTTAATACTATAAAGCCCACATTTCGATCACACTACAAAGAAACTAAAAGTATGGTTTAAGAAGAAATATGAAAGCCAATTACATTAAAAAAATGCAAATAAAATATACACCTCTCCTGGCAATGATCAGAAAAGGCAAATCAAAGATTAAATAGTAAACTGCAACAGACCTTGTGTACGTATGGTCGGACCAAGTCATCCAGTTTGTAAAGAATTCTGTCAATGACTTTGACAAGCAAGTGACGCTCCTGATCTTCAAGCGTTGGTGACATCAGCAGAGGCAGAATCTGATTAAACAACGGCCCTGCTCCAAATTCCCGAGCTTTATCAGTAATTTGTCGCAACGCAGCCTAAACAAAACCAAACAGCCTATCAGTTAAGTTAAGGAAACACCTCTGAACAATTACAAAACAGGTAGATATTAACCAAATGTAATTCACTGCAACCACAGGCTTCAAAATACTTGCTCCTGACACTGCAAACTCTACTTCAAACAATTTTATGCTGATCTGTTTAAAAACAAATGCGTGAAGAGAAACACTCTGATGTTAGCTCCCAGGTGTTCAATTTTCAAAAAAAGCATGCTCCTGGTCTAATATTAAGAAAGGTTCCACCTGACAAATAGCTTACACACCACTTACTTGCATCTAGACCGCTTGGTGCTATGCTCAATCTAGAGCAAAACCGTGCTGAAGAGGCAGCTAACGTATTGCATAATGTGTATGGCTGAAACGTAGCTAAGAGCTACACCACTAATTTAAGAAGTAAAATCCAGAAAATTACAAAGCCTCGTAAGCAAGAAGCACTATAAATCTATTAAACAAACCTTATATAAGCCATATACTATTTAGTTACTGACATTACTGTACAAAAAGCAGCAATACTAAATTACTCGAATGACAAACAAAAAGCCACACAGATATAGAAGAGGAAGAAAGCACAGATACCAAAGTTTAGGAGATTATCTTAAAGAGAATCCCATAGAGAACTAAAACTGAAAACAAATAAAGATTTTTGAAAAATAAAGTTACATAAATGCACCTGACAATTCACCTTACCTTTCTCATAGGAGGTGTGCCATTTTTTATTTTCAGGAGTAATTTCATTATTTTTCTCTCCTTCTGTTCTTCAGGACTCAGAGTTGATTCATCAACATCAACCTACAAATAATTCCAGAAATATAAATAGGTATTGCTACTTATTCAAAAGAAATGAGGAAACTTTAATCAGCATGAGTGAAATCTCATTTACCAGCAGTTTATCAAAGTATTGGATATCATCTGGTTTTAGGAATGGAAGATTGCCAGATGGCTGGTCATTAACACTCTTCATGGTCCGGTCTTCTGTCTGCATGTGGAATCCAGTCATACCACCCAAAGGCGTTGGAGTTGCTGTAAGCTTACGCGCTGGAGTGCGAATAGGTACATAACCAGCTGGTGGGGGAAGAACCTACAGAAGAACGAACAAAATTTATCTTATCAAAACAGATATAAAAAGAGGAAGGCATCAAATACAAAACACTACTAAAAACTTGTATCTTCCATTTTATTTGTTCAGGGATTTGGGCAAGTGTTCTTGTGCATACATTAGATCCCATGTGCACAGCAATACAAATTCACTGTAACAGTTTGCATTTGGGCCTGTCCTCTATTGACGATATTTCAGGAGAAAGCTCACTTCCACTGCTGAGAGCTTGGATAATAAACTTTGAAGTCACCTTACAAAGAAGCACTTCAATATCTGTATCAACACAGCGTACTTGCTAACTTAGAATTTGTGACTCTCTTCTATGTTTTTCTATGCCTGGTCTTAATATTTTTATCAGTTCATTCAGAGCTCATTTCTGGCCTTGACAGGCATTCCCAACATTGAGAAGCAGAACAACAAGTGGCCATTGAGATCACCTTTAGTTCTCCCTTTCTAATGGATTTACAATAAATCAGTAACTGAATCAAACAAATCTCTACAATCAATAATCAATATTTAATGTGAAACATTCTACTTCTGGAACAGCTGTTTAAAAAAAATAAAAAAATTTTAAAAAAATCAATACCCCCTGGCAGAAAAACCCCCCAACACCAGTCTGCTGTATTCTAATCCACATGAATTACCTTATATCCTTCTGGAAACATAGCATCCAACTCTTCATCAGAAAGTGGTCTGTTTCTCTCATCAATTTCCCTTTCCCAACGCCAAGCCTGCAGCTGTTCAGGAGTCATGCTCATGATATGACCTATATTCAAATTTTTAAAAATAATTTTAAAAAAGGGTTGTGGGGTGGGTTTTTTTTAAAAAAATCTTCTGTATGCAGATGACTTGTTTACTTAACCTTTAAGTGCTCTCTTGAGCCAAAGTTGCCATAGCACTTGAAATCTGCAGCCAGTAAGATATCAAACTTTTCGAGAGCCTTTTATCATTTTTTTTTACCAACTAAATTGAACAGGAATAGACACAGAACCTTAGTCTCGATTCTCCTCCAAAACTGAGTTTCTGTGAGCATTAAAAATGGTAAACTGAGCATATACTGACTGCTTTCACACAGGAAGGAGAACATGTTTGGCAGAAGTCTATTTCAAAATACAATATAAAGGTAAAAGCTTCATTTCCACAAAAGAAAGTTAAGCCTTAGAGAATGGCCTGGGCTTACCTGGTGTAGGAGTTGCCATGTTCATAGCTGGTGTACCAATGGGTGTTTTGCCAGGTGTCAGAACAGGAGTGCTGCCACCCATCTGGCTAGCAGGTGTTTCATCCCATCGTGACTTTCTTTTACTAGCTCCTGGGGTCGGTGTCTCACCAATGGAGTCACCACCTCTATCTGTACGAGGCGTCTCAGCCCATCCACTGCCGTGCCCCGGAGTATCTAAGGAAAAACAAAACAATTTTTGCAGAAAGCTCAACAGTATATACTCCAACTAGAAAATCAATACCCAAACACATTTTTAATATCTCGTCCCCATGTCTATGCAAATTAACCAGTATCAAATAAATAAATACTCTAGACAAAATAAAGACTACTTTGGTGAATATTGAAGAGACACAGGCATTACACTACAAACATCCAACAGAGAACTTTATTTTATGAAAAAAGCATGTCATCTTCTTGCTGAATCTTAGCATGAATAGATAAAATTCTAAAAAATACAAAAACTCAGATATTCTAGAAATTGGACAAAGTACTCCACGTACTCATTCATAAAAGCATTAAGGAACAATGGTGTTTCACTGTTCTCTGACACATGAACTTTAGTCAAATTAGGCAGGTGAGAAAATGCTTCCAAAACTTGTTTTAATGCTAACTCTTCAAAAAAAAATAAACAGCTCAAAACCAATACACATAAATGTATTGTATAAACCAATTCAACATGAGCTCCTTTACACATTAAAATCCCAACTTGTGGCAGTCACCAGATATACCACAAAACTTTGACTCGATTTTTGAGCTGAGGTGCTTTCACAGACATGAGTTAAGCTAAGAGGCGGAATTCAATGCTACGAATTCAGACAAAAACATCACTCCACATCAACCACTAGAGGTCAGAATAGAATTACTTCTTGCCTGACTTCTGAATCTACTGTTTATTTAAGATGAAAAAATCCTACACAATTAACCATTCAAAACTCATTACGTGTTTTCCAGTTCGCCATAAATACCTCTCTCTGTTTTAGGTGTTTCATCCCATCGATTTTTACGTGCACTGGAAGTGGCACCTCCATGGCCTGGTGTTGCATGACCAGGCGTATCCCGTCCGGGTGTTGCAGCTCCTGCTGGTGTATGACTGGGAGTCGGATCCCATATTTTTGAGCCTGGGGTGGCACCAGGAGTTTCACTACCCTTTGCACGGCCTGGAGTTTCATCCCATCGCAGAGATGGTGTATGTCCAGGAGTCTAGGCAAGACAAAACCAAAAGTGTTAATCCCTCTCGTACTATACAGTAACAGACTGCTAGTTTTTCAGTAGAGTAAGAAACTTCTGGAATTCAAGAGGATTAGCATTAATGTCTTCTGCAGATAAGCCGATGAACACTAGAATTGTTACCTCTGCTTGATCCCAACTGGATAATTTTTTAGGTGTAGCACCAGGAGTCTGATCAGCTGTCTGATCCCAACGCCGTTTGCGTTTTGAAGGTGGCTGAGATGCGGCTCCATTGACGACTTTAAGCTCTCCAGCTTTAGCTTTTTCAGCTAGTTGTTGCCTAATTTCCCTCTATTCAAGGGAACAAAAAGACAAACATAAGAAACACATATCTTAAGAAGGTCTCTTCAGATTATACCTTTAAAAGAGATTTCTTCAGCTGTATCATGTATTTTTATGCTATTTTTGAGGGTTTGCTCAAATAACATGCAATTAGCTACTGTTTCACTTTCAAGTTCATTCTCTTTTCAAATTCTTCTATGTTGATAGAGCAGCTATATGTTTGGAGGGACTGTTTTTAAATTGATTTATTATAAAAGCCATTATTACAACAAATGCAAATGCATGGAGAATTTTGAGTGCTATCAGTTTCTGTCACTGATACGTATGCCTTAAAACCATTACACATCTGTTTCAAACAAGTTCCACTTCAGTAAATTAAAAGCGTATGAGTTAGAAAACGTGTTTACGTGAGTTATTTCCACGACATAAAAAAAGCTCTGAAATTCTTATTTCAAATTCTGAGATGACATTGTTAAAGCACACTAATCCAGACTGGTTTTCACTTATCAATGCATCCACAAACAGTAATATTGTCAAAATTATGAACTAATGCCTCAATTAAAGTAAGTTAAGTAGAGTAAGTCAACGTACATCTATAGAGGTCACTGGAACTACAAGATCTTGCTTCAATTAACAAGATAGCACTGTAGGTATTACACGAGAGATCTGATTATATTACCAACATCATCTTACCTATTAAAATGAATTTTTAATAGCCATGAATAAAGCATGTACTTTTTTTTTCTTTTTTTAATATTTAAAACCAAATGTCAACTTTACACCAGTTCTTAGTACGGCAGTATCTGTTCTAAGGCTTCAACAAAAGCCTTTTAAAACCTCCCTGGATTCCCCTCACACAGAGCTCACAAAACCAAACATTTCTGACAGCGAATACCCTTCAGTGACTGTTAGGTTTTGTGCCTCATCCTCTGAAAGAAAATAAACAAAAGTCCAAGTGCTATAAAAAAAAAATCCAGATTAAAATATATTGAGACTATTTCTCCCTTGGTTGTTTAGGTATTATGTAGAACACATGTTTTTCATAACTTTCATCTTTAAAGTCTACTGACTTTCAACATGTGAATAACAGGATTTTCCAAAGTAAAGGACTTTTAAGTCAAAACAGTCAACAGAATTTCCATTCCCACTTTCTTAACATGCTTTCAAAGGTTGTAAAATGAAACTAAGCTCAGGTGGAAAACCATCCCCTCCACACACCTCTTCTTTCGTTAAATGTTGTTCACGCATAACATCCATGTATGTTCTGGCATTCATTTTAGGATCTGGTGTCTTCCCTCCTGCGGAAGAGAACAGCAACAGGAATGGAGCACAATGAGTATAGGATAAGCAGAACCTATTGACTTTTTCTAATGTCCTGCTCTAATATTATATTATTCCATGATCATTTAATTTTACTTTTTGATTGAAAATTTTTAAAATTACATGTATCTTACGTTTATTCAGTTTGCTGATCAATTTAACCTGTTTGAACACAAACATAACTACTGCAGTTTCAAACAAATATTTTAAAGCCGATATAAATGATAAAATGACAACACAGTTAAGAGTCTTCAGAAGTGATGGGTTCCTGGGTTGCTAATCCGGAATACGTACACTTTCGTGCCTTTGTCTCCATCAGCAGTTCTGACTTCAAGCAGCAGAATAGAAGCCTAGAAAATTATCTCTTTACCATTAGTAACACTTTGGAAAGATATTTATATTCAAAACATTACCTTGTGTAAGCTGTTAAATCCTAGTTTTTTTCTGACTATAAATAACTATTGCACACCTAAGTAAAGTTTAAAATGTTTTATCATAAAGACCCATTTATAAGTTTGACAAATCTGGACACGTCTCCCAGATCTTCTAGTGTTATATTGTAAAAGGGCTTCATTAAAAAACCAAACCAAAACAAAAACCCCCAAAAAACTGTATGATGACACTTTCCCCCTCTTCTCTTCTTAAGGTACAATTGTGATTGGGAGCTGAATGTAATACAGTACATATACCACCACAACAATACTCACAGGTAATGGGTTTTGTATACCATATGCTGTTTTATGCTGTGTATCTTGCGTTAATTAATCTTTTAAATACTTTACAAGAAGCCCAACTTTATAAAAATGAGACTTGTCAAGAAAAACACTTTTCTTTAAGAAAAATGTGCAGATTTGCTATACAAGTGGTATAGCATCATAATTTAGGGAAAAAAATAAACTTCTTAAACATTTCTATGCTGAAGATCATTGCCCAATTGGCTGTGTCATTCTGACACTAGCTTTGATAGGACTTTCCTTTGGGATACTTTTTCACCATAATCTACACAGGATGTGTTGAACTGCACCCTTAAGAATGCAGACAGGACTGGCATATAGCAGTACTGCTGTAGGAAAGAAATTAAGGACAGTTAGTATGGGCCTGTGAATTCTGACAATACATGTTTATATCAATTACAATTAAGCAAGTAAAATAATTAATATCCCTATTAATTCATGCAGGCTGAAATTCGCATTTGTAAAACCTGCAAAATAGCTACTCATTTTAAGCCAACAGGCACCTTATTGCCACACGTGAAACTCACTCACCTGAAGAAAGTTTCTGTCAGACCCACTAACACCCCTTTTCCTGACTTGCATTCTAAAAATATCAGAACAGACTTGAACTATTAATAGTATCAAAGTCTTATATATGCTTTTGTTTCTTTTAGCTGTACCACCTAAGTTTACATAGGATGGTAAGAATTAGGTGCTCTATTTTGAGAGCCAGCATTTCAAAAGCAGTAACCCTGTAAATCTATGACTTGGAATGAAAACTTTCAAGGTACTGAAAGAATCCGAGCACTCAATAGACAAGTTGTTCAAAGTATAATGCACAACCCAAAACAAAATGAAAAGAGAAACCTTTAACCCTTTGTGTTTCTATGGCAATGGCTCATTATTTTCTTGTCCTTCTACCTGGAAAGAAAACTTGTATTATAAAGATGAAGAATATGGCATCTAGGTTTTCAACCAAATCTCTATGAAAAGGGGATGTTTAAAACAAAACTAAGTTTATAAGCATGCCAACAGAAATCAAAGGGCTAAAGACAATTAAAGACAACAAATCTCATAAAGGGTATAGAAAATTCAAAATAAATTACCATCTGCAAAAGGATCAAGACGCTCAGGGGAAATTATCATCATCCGCCTGTGCTTTTTGTACTCATCTTCCCGATCTGCAATCTTTTGAGGACGGTGTTCTGCAAAAGGATCATACTAAAAACCAAAAAAAAGCTTATTAGTCATATATGTATGAAGAACAATATGAAAAGTGTCTGGTAACCATAAGCCATAAGTATTACTAAAAAGGCCTACTTTATTTTTAATCTCAGCTATGCAGGAATGTCAAAACACTATGCTAATAGAAACTTTACTTCTGTAACTGGAATTTATTTTTTTTTAAACACAGAATTTCTTATGAAATAAAATAGCAAATTTTTGTCAGAAGTTAAGAAGTTTATTCACTTGTTACCACAGTACTTCATGCTGTCAACCTTTCCCCTTCTTTTTGCAGGGGAACGCTGCTTCATATGCTTTTAAATTTCACAGAAAAATACTCCAGGAATATAAAACATAAGTGATTATATTTTCTTTACAAAAATACAAGTACAAAGGACATTAAGTTTTCCAGTTATTTTCATTTTTGAACTATCTGACCTATCAAAACATGGGGGTTTTAGTAGTTTAGTGTATATGCCCACTTTGCCTTTACATGCAGAAGTGCCAATTTTTATCGCCCTGTGGAATTCTAAACTAAAGCAGTAATGAGCTTACAGCAAAATTAAAATACCATAGCCCTTTACGTACATCTTGTATGTCCAGAAGATAAGACCTGGTCTCAAAAAACTTTAACACTTCTTTCCCCTAAAACCTACAACAGTACTTTATTGTGCCTTCAATTAAGATGTACCTGTTCAGTAGACTGTGGTATGTCATTAAGCAATGCCACTGGAGCATGGTAGCCTGGCTTCTTCTGGCCAAGCAAACTTGTAGATGGGTAGTCATCATCATCCTGTCAGTAAAAAGACATGGCAAATTTGTTGTGTTGATATTACATTCAGATAAAATAACGTCAAATTAACATACTGTGGTCACAGAAAAGATTAAAATGGACAACTAGAATAGTCAATTCCAAATTTTAGCAAGCTTTTTCATATGGCTTGTTTTATTACTCCTAAATTGCTGAATCAGATAAACCTACCCACATCACTAAAAAGTTAACTTTGTCTCTGCAAGACTCAGGTATTCTGTGATATGCTACATTTAATCAAGCATGTTGTCTACACTAGTTATACAAAAAGTCTGTATTTCATATTAGCACTATTGCTATAGTTCCCTAGCTGGCATATGAAAACCGGTGCACAGAAATTCAAACCATTTCTTCTTAAAAGCCAGCTAGAGATAGAACAAAACTTTAGTAAATAACCCTATAAAAAAGCTTCAGAAACAGTGAAAAATTCAGAAATATAATGTTAATTTAGTTACACCTTCTCAATCACAATAACAAGTACTCAAAATGTGTAAAACGCTTTTGCTATCTATTTCCTCATATTAGTAGCCAGTTTCTGTGCAATAATTTACAGCAACCCAAAAGAAAAACTGCTCTTAAAACTATGCACTGATTTCAGTGAGACCCTGTAATGGAAATTTTTAATTAAGGAATTCTTAGAAGTCTACAAATGACACATAGTACATTTACTAAAAGAATATACTAACTAAACTAACTGCATAGTACTAAATTGAACATAACAACCTTCCTTCCTCTTAAAAATATAATTCACTCAGCGCAATATGTAGTTGCCTACGTACTTGTGGTCAGAACCGTAGTTTCTGACTACTCCTGCAACTGAATATGTGGTCTAATGATTAACAGTAGAAATTAACATCAAGAAATCTTACAAGGAGGATACATAAAAAGAATATAATACAGTGAAAAAGTCAATCTGCAAAAAAAAAAATTGCTCTGAAATTTGAACTGTAGTAGAAATAGATATCTTAAAATAGTCAAGTTTGTTGGCCCAAGATTTATTAGATTTTTTTCACCATCATTTTTCATCTTGGCAGCAACAACAGAACAAAGTTAATTATTCCAGTCAAGGCTAACACTGATTAAGTACCAGGCCACAACTTTTTGCCTTCTGCTTGGGCCTACATAACTTTCAAAGCACAATTCATGAAGTACAAGCCACACTTAGAACTTAGGAGCTTCCCAGATAAGACTTCAGCAACTGCTATTAAAAATTACTCAAAATTAATTCCAAAATACTTAAAATGCATGACCTAAAAAAATACATAAAATCACTTACATCTTCCAATTCAGTTGCTGCAATAGAAGTGACATATCCAGCAAACCTGCTGTCACTGCCACCATAGATTTCTTGATCGTAATATCCTGTGGAATCAAGGCCTACTCCTTGTGCTTCATCAAGAGCAGGCTTTTTTCCTTGAATTTCTCGAATTTGTGCTTCAATATCTAGGGTAAAGACACACACACAAAAAATCAGGTCTTTTTAAACAAGCACACAAAATGTAATACTCATGTTACCACATACAGCAATTTTTTTCATCCAATTTCAAAGAGTATCTCTACAGAAATAAACAAATATGACACACAAAACTGCAAAATCATAGTGTTTATAAGAAGGTTTTACTTAAGTTGTAATATTATCCAACACAGACTACTTCAGTTGTATGGCCTAAAGCAAACTACTCAAACCCACTGTTAATGTATTAACATATCTCATCTTTCAACAGAGATAGCAGAGAAGGCAGCATTTTTCAACAACACGCTAACACAACACTGTCTCAGCAAATGTAACCCTCTCATTAAAAAAGCCTTTCAAGATGTTATTACCAATTAACAAAACAATTTTGCTAATTTAAACAAATCTGTTCAAAAGAGCTACTGCATGAGCTGTCAAATCTGAAAACATTTAATAAAACAACACTGTATTATGTTATCTAACATATTGCAATGCTGTACTATCTTTAAACAAACAAAAAACCCCAAACACTCTAATATGCTACTAGATACCAAGCTAGCAAAAAAAAAGTTAGGACCAGTTTCTTTTCACTCTGACAGCTCAAACAGTATTTACTCATTACTCTCATGACTATTCCTGCCTGCACCACCACCTTCGAGAGTCTACCTTTCTTCTGGATAATGTCCTTCAAAAATAGGACAAGTGGGAGCTTTGTCGTTCTTTTAACATAACAGGGTCTGACTTCTAATCAACTTTGGTGGCCATCTTTGACCTTTCAAATTTGGTACTTTCAGAAAGAACATTAACTTGTTAACCCAGAAAACAAGGAACGAAATTAAACCATGCTTTCCTCCTACATGTTGTAATGCAACAAGAACGTAAGTTACAGTAATCCAACTGTTACCTACATTCAACAAATGTAACTGTGATGCAGGTATATTGAGGCACAGCTATCTCCATAAAAATTATTACTATTCCATCTGAATTTTATTTGAATAGACACATAAAGACAATTATCCATACAATGTGAATTTCAGTACATCAAACAATTATTTTCACAGCCAAAAAAGTACCCGAGTTGCATTTCATGGCTGAAGGAATACCAAGGATCGTGCTTGAGCAAGAAAGTTGGAGTATACAGTCTCAAAAGTCCCTTCCAACCTCAACGATTCTGTGATTCAACGTCTCCCATCTAAAGTGGTATTGCCTGCTTCATTAACTTGAGGGAAATTTGCTAATTTACAAAACCCACAGGAAATTCTATTTACAAATAATCTTAAATCTTGACTATTCACTAGGATTTTTGCTATTGTTGCTCATTTCTCTTTTTCAGGACTAATAAATTTCACAAGGTTTTACCACTGAGATACCTTGCAAAAGACATTAAACCACAACATCTGCTAACAAACCTGGTAAAAATTAAGATTAGAATACTTTTTTTTTTTAAGAGGCAAGATTATTGCTAATCCAAATTATTGGACCTGACACATAAATGAGGGGGTGGGGTGTTGACTTTGGTGGGCTTTTTTTTTGTTGTTTTGCTTTGTTTTTTAATGACAAAGAAAGACTGCAGATCACAATTGCTTAGTTTAAAAGTTTAAACCGCCAGCCCTGTAAACTTCAAAACTTGAAGTCAAGGCTGGGTCCTTTTCTTATCACAAACTGCCACTAATAAAAAATAAAGCCAACACTGTAAGCCAGATTATGCCTCCTGTACAAAGGCATGTTTTCTATAGAGGTAACTGAACACGTAGTTTCACCTGACAAACCTTTGCTAAACAGCTACGAGTGAGAATAGGATTCAATGTTCATGTACAGTCTGTAGAACTGGCAGTTAGAAACACTTTAAGCACAGTAAACCTGACAGCAAATCTGCAATTCCTGCAGTGGTCTAGTGGGGAAAGAAAGAAACAGCAGAAGTATGTTTCTAAACTCATCAAGAGTCCCATGCATGGAAAATACATCATAGTAGCTGATAAGGAGAATCTTGCTCCACCCTGTTAAGGGCTTCCATCAAGCTTTTGCAGGTATCTACAACAGGGTAAGTTGGACAGTCACCTCTGCGTTACAGAAATCAATGGCATCTGCCTTGAACTCATAAGAAGCTGAAAACTGACAAAAGCCTTATACTGCTGGCCATGATCACCTGCTGAGTCCTGCCCCCAGGGACATCCAGCTCCCTCTAAAATCCTGCACAGTATAGGGGATTCCAGTGAGTCCAGAACTTGAGACACGTTGCTCCCCAATATGTTACTTCCTGCAGGAGCAGCAGAAAGAAACTACTGCCGAATTAGGGATCCCTGTCTTGCCCACAGAGGTCTCTGATCATTTTCAGAGGCATACCACACGTATCCTGTTTACCACTGTCACCTGAAGGTATTCCATTTTTGTGAAGTTGTCCTATGGCATGATTATGGAACTGATACAACTCAAATGCTTTTCTCACAGATTTTTTAGTTCTGTTTCTTCCAAAGAGCAGAACAAGTTCCTGGTTCCTTTTGCAGCCTGGTGCAATGCAGTGCTAGGGTGAAAGGGAATACTGAAGCTTCCATTGCTACCAAGGCCAACACTACTAGCACCGAGTGCTTTTAGAGTACAATGACATTGTTTCTTATTTCTAAAGAGCAGTTACTGGAATACCACACTGCCTCTTCAGTAGCATATTAAGTCCTGATTGTGCATCCATAGCTGTAAAAAAAGCCTACAGATCTTGCCTACAATACAAAAGCCTTTCCATCATCTGTCCACTGAATGAACCTGACCATATAGCTTAGCCAAATAAAGCACCAGCAAGTACCCTGCCATGCTACCACCATCAACAGAGTCTATCCAATCAATTGTGGGTTTCCGCAGCAAAAGCGTTAATACAAAAATATTTTTGCTATTAATAGTTCTTACTAACACTTTACATACTAAGGCCTTGTTCTCTTATTTTATTTTCAAAATAGCTATATTTTCTGAAGAGGGTACAGATCTCATTTATTATTGGCCTTCTCCTTTAAATTACAATGACTACAACTGTTTGCAGACTAAGGAGCACTCTCATTTTCTTACCGAATAACCTGCTGGGTTATGTATCATGAAAGAAAGTCTGCATAGAGTCTACAGGCATTACAAACCCCCACTTATGGCCACCATAATTTTGAACTAATGCCATGCAGTCTCTAAGAGCTAGCTTAAATGAAGCACGCTTTGAAGAGAACACCCATTTGACATGACCCAAAACCCCTTCAACCAGAAGGTCTAAGAGATCTGCAGTCAAAGGTAGCCTGACTGCCAGTTTAGAAAGCATCACATATTTAGGTGGAAAAGCCTATTTTGACATTAAAGATGTGTTTACCTTCCTTGGTCTAACTAGCACGTTCTTGAAAAAGCTCACAATCTATTTAACAAAGCACTTATATCAAATTAAGACAGACTAATCATAGAGTTTAAAAATACATTGATTAAACCATCAAACAAATACTTTGCTTTATACAACCAGGACATAAACTTCAGGCAAAGACAGAGAAACAGTAAAGGGAGCGGAATTTAAAAAATAAATAAATAAAAAAAAAGGAGGGAGGGAGAGAATATTGTACTGATCATGCCTTTTTCTGTATTTTTCTCTAATATATTTTGGTATTTTAAAAGAGGTAACTTTAACACGCAGAGTTGATTCGAAACATACCGTAAACGTTGAATATTATTAAAGTCAATATATTTGAATTCAAAGTCACTGAAAATCTAGCTCACAGCCAGATCAGGATAGCCTTTCTCAAAATATACAGTCCATTACCATACATGTAGTTCTACTTGCAATGTTTGGCGTGTTAGACATTATTCAGCATGAAAAAAGAAAGAACTACAGACTCTGTACTGAAGTACTATTTTACAGCGTAAATAGCTTCTATGTTTTCATGCCTCATACTGCTGCATATATAGCTTGGCCTGTGTAGCACTCTCATACATGTTAGGTCTGTTTGGAGATCTCTCTGTTCTTTTCTGAGCAAGAAAAAAAATTATCCAAATTTAAAACTACCTTTGACAGCATTCAAAACTCAAGCATTTGAGGCTTTATAAACTGCCCTTTAAAACTTTACTTTTCAGCCTGAAACAAAGGGTTCCCCCTTCAGTTATGTAACTGAAACAATCTCAAACTGTTTTGATATCTCTTTCAAGTTGTGTCTTGAAGACATCAATCAATGAGTTTTTATCAATCAACGAGTTTTTAACAAACAATACAAAGATGTGAAAAATCTTCTAAGACAAGTTAGTAACAACTCAATTTGAAAAATCAGGAACTGAAAAAACATAAGATAGAACTCAGAAGAAAAATAATCAAGCTGTTCAGCTAAGACCTCGTTGTTGGGAAAGACATTATTACATGGTCATACTGAGGTATAAATAATTTTTATTTAACTACATACACCCCCCCTTTAAAACCTGTTCTGATACAATGCTAATCAAAACACATGCAACTGGAAGCATGTCAATGTTTTCATGAACTTCAATGGACCACCATTTGCTTCAATAAATAAGCATTTTAAGTTTTTAAAAAAATAAATCTACTATTTCAGTATTAAAAGCTCTTCAGGTCACAGGAAAGGCACTGTGATGGGTAGTATCTCACAATGCAAGCCTTCTACATGTCACAGCACACAGACAAAAGACAACTTCCGTATATTCTCCAAAAATGTTCTACAATGTTAAAAAATAAAACTGAATTAAATATTTTTTTTAAAAAGTGATGACAGCGGTTTAAGCTTTTCTTCATCCATAAACTCAAACCGGGTCTATGGTGTTAAAGACTACATTAACTTCACTTCCATGGAAGATGATGAGTCTCCATTTCACAAGTTTTTTCAGTGCAAGACTTACCGCCCCCAAAGGCAACGAATACCTGAGTGCCCTGCCTACCTCACAGTGTACAACCACTGTCCAGAGATAGTTTTTGATTAATGAATTACGGATGTAAATTAACATAAAACACAGCAGAGCGCCTATCAGA